AATTATTTACTTTTTTAAGCAGAGAAAGCAGCACCTGTGTCTGAATATGCCCTAACATTGTATGTGAAAAACACTGAAATGAGTAGTATGTCCAAATTTGTTGCATTCATAAAACTGTAGCGATGTAACAATATATCATATCACAATATATTGCAACACAAAATAACAACAATAAAAACTCACCATTTGAAATCTTTTTTGGCTTTTTTCAAAGTATCGTGAGAGTATTGTATCATGAGATCAGTATCGTATACTGACCCGAATTGTGACATGAGTGCATTGCCACAACCCTATAAAACAGTAGACGAAAAGAATGAAGAAAGGTTAACCTGTTGAGTGCTTGGTAACTGTTAAGATGTGTTTGACAATATGTTAAGGAGTTTGTTTTTTAGAATAACCTATTCACCCTTTCCTCACGTACACTCTTAAAAATAAAGGTGCTTAGATGCCATAGAAGAACCATTCAGTCAAAGGTTCTTTATAGAACCATCTCTTTCTTACCTTTTTATAATCTGAAGAACCTTCTTTTGCCACAAAGAACCTTTTGTGAAACAGAAAGGTTCTTCAGATGTTAAAGGTTCTTTATGGAACCATTTCGACAAAAAGGTTCTTCTATGGCATCGTGAAGCACCTTTATTTTTAAGAGTGTATATTTAAAATTAAACTTGTTCATTGAGAGTGACATGTTCAAAAAAGTTGAGTTTTCAACTCTTAGGGGAATATCTTGTTCTGCATAATTACCCAAATTTGATTGGAACTGAACTTGACTTCTGGAGATGACTTTTAATGAATGTAAATCAGGCATCTCACATCCCCACAATTAATTTTGTCTGTAAAAAAAAAAAAACTTGTTAGAAAACAGAAAAAAAAGTGTTAAAGCGCTGACAGAGGAGTGCTGTCAGGCATTTTTCTGCTCTATCTCATCTCCATGACTGGCACTCTAGAGATATTTTCCCCTCCCTGACTTTGATCATGGAAGTGATGTTCTAGAAGAAGCTGGAGTGAATTCCAATGTGAGGTGGGCATCTCTTTAGCATACCTAAATAAAACTGGGTGCCCCCCCTCCCTTCCTTGGAACTTGGCTGTAAATTTTAGCATTAATTTCATGTGCAAGCCTTCATATAAACATATGCTATCTTAAAACACGTCACTGTCCACTGTCCACTGTCCAAAACAAGGTCTCACTGAAGAATAGGTGCATCAAATGTTAAGTCACACCCACAGTGAGGAAGGAAGGTCAGGTCACACGATAGTTTTTGATTGATTTAATGGATGCATGCTGCAGTAGATTTGTAGCTATGTGAAGTAATTCAAAACGCAAGCATATAATTTCATCAAATAGGATATGTTATAAAGGGAAATGAAATTGATGGAGACAGGTTTATTGATGGACAAGTTTAGTACCTTCAATAACTGATTAGCATGATGCAGCTTGCTTAGATTTTTATCCCCATCTTTCAACATTTCAAAAGTTGCTGTAAAACAAGAAAACTGTTGAAAAAAAAAAAAGTGTAAAATTAAGTGTAGAATAATTTCCAAGTCTTCTAAAGGAACAAAACAGACTTATTGTATGCAACAAGGCAGCACAGCATATCTGCACCATATCAGCTTTATACCAATATTTTTATTTAACAATAAGGTTTTCTACAACATTATATATATATATATATATTTTTTTTTTTTTTTTTTTTACATAAACTCGATGTAGTTGACATATGATACACACAGCTTTGGGCAGTGCATGCTCATATCCCATATTTTTAGATAATTTAGATTGGTTATCAATTTAGGCCCCCCATTGTCCAACAGAATATTCAAAGGTCCCCTCCATTTACACTACAATATTTCAGCTGTAAATATGACAAATCTGCTTGGTTTCAAGCGTTTATATTGATATATTTATTATTAATTAATTAAAGAAAGTAAAAATGTTAAATTCTGGAAAATGCATATAAAACTATATATCACATTTCAATTTAGAGATTATTTCATATGTTAATAATAATGTAATTTAGTTAGTATATTAATAAAAATGCATTTAATTTTAAGCTCATCCTTTGGCTCCCTTGGAAATTTGCTGAAGCCCTCTGGATGAAAACCATGATTTAGATAACTTTTACTAACAAATAACTGTCACTTATCACTTTTTTCACATATGTGACCCTGGAGCACAAAACCAGTCTTAAGTCGCTGGGGTATATTTGTAGCAATAACCAAAAAATCATTGTATGGGTCAAAATTATTGATTTTTCTTTTATGCCAAAAATCATTAGGATATTAAGTAAAGATCATGTTCCATGAAGATATTTTGTACATTTCCTAAAGTAAATATATCAAAACTTAATTTTTGATTAGTAATATGCATTGCTAAGAACTTAATTTGGACAACTTTAAAGGCGATTTTCTCAATATTTAGATTTTTTTTTCACCCTCAGATTCCAGATTTTCAAATAGTTGTATCTCGGCCAAATCATCAAATTTCCATACATCAATGGAAAGCTTATTTATTCAGCTTTCGGATGATGCATAAATCTCAATTTCGAAAAATTGACCCTTATGACTGGTTTTGTGGTCCAGGGTCACATCTTTAACAACACTAATGATTTAATAAGACCTTTAAAAGTATTCTTTAACAAATCTGAAAAAAAAAAAAAAGTTCTTTAGACAAAACAGTATAGAATTTTAATATTGGCCATTTATCATTATTAAAACCCAATCTTTGTTATATTTTGCTTTAAGGAAGTTTAAATATTTAATTTGAAGGTGAAGAATAGGATTTTTGCAGTGTGGCAGATTAATACAGTTAGATTTTTCCCCTTTATCCTTGAAGCTGGGAACAAATCCATACATTCTAATCTAATGAAGAACACATTCAAAGCAGCTCCCCAAAACCCACATCCATCTTCAGGAAAACAGGACACTGGTGTTTTGGCAGAGCTTGAGTTATGACACCAAGCGTCAGTGGCTGCATCAAACTCCATTCTCTTCTGAAGGACCTTTGTGGAAATGGCATGATTAATCCATCAGGGGACGTGGCTATGCAAGGTGTATGCATGGCAGGGGGAATTAAATTACAGGGCTGTTGCAGGGACCATCCCAGCACAGTGCATTTGAAAGTGTGGCAGCTTTAGCTGATGGATGTCGCTGGTCTTAATAGGCTGGTGGTGTGTGAATTGAGGCATTGACTCCCTCCCACTCTGCGTCCTGTACATTGGTGTTAAGGTTGACACGGGAGATAAGAGAAAGTAAAACATGAATTTGAGTAGATAGGTACGCAAATGTGATTTGTCTCAAGTGAATGTCCATGAGGGCTTTTAAGCATATGATGATGATCTCATTGCATATCGATATAGTAGGTGTATTGATTGAGAGAACAGCATCATTTAAGCACGTCTCAGAGGAATCAAAAAGCATGTGTATGTCCACAGTGAATTGTCCTATTTTAAATTACATACACATGGTTGTCTCTCTCTATACAGTACAGTCTGTAGTTGAACATATTGATTGCAGTTGTGCAGAGGCATCGGACGTACATTATAACAAATGTTCTCTTTGCATTATAATAGAGGAGCGACAAATGTGCCCAATCGATGAAGAGAAGGTCAGGGAATGGACTCTGGCCGCAGCTCTAATAGAGAAGTCAATGAGGAACTGCTGTAATCAATGTAGTGAATTCAATAAAGGAATGTGGAACTGAGGGATGCAGGCAGTTACTGCCAATTACTTAAAAGTAACAATAAAACATCAGTGTTAAATTCCTCTTGAAATGCATACAATTACTTTTAACGGAGCTGTTGCCATTAATTCAACAGCAACAGTTTTATTGTAGAGATATGTTGGTAAATGCAAAGCTGTAACACGAGAAAACAGAACAGCTCATGATTGTCTGACAGATTGCAGCGAATGTGAGAAATCAACATCAGCATGAAAGCAGAAGTGAACTCTTAAACCATGCATATAAAATCATTTAGAGTGGCCATTTAAAAATGTTATTGTAAAATAATTGTAAAAATATTGGCAGATAACATTGTGTGTAGGATTGTCTGACTGACTGGAGAACACTTTTTGTTAAATGTGTTGTGAAATGTCACTAAACCCAAGCGGCAGGCTGTAAGTGTCAATGTAACTGGGTTCGTAAGTGACTCCGGATGTACCAGGGTTATCATGATGCTTCTGAGAAGTGTATTTTGATAATTGAGATTAATGTCTCTGCCTCAAGACACACCATAAGTGTTTATTCTGAGATTAGCGGTTGTAAATGTTGAGAACTCTTACCAACCATAGGATCTGGAGTCATGAGCACGTATTTGCAAATAACAAATAGTCATTGACATTTCAGCTTAATTATTTTCACTTCCTAAATCCTTCACAATAGATGGCAGTATAAGCTTTATATCCTGCTCTTTGTATGCTCGACCTCATAATGTAACAAAAAAATGGAAAATTATTCTTCTTTAAGCAGCAAGTAGCCTATGTTTTTTTCTTCTTCACTCCATTACTTAAAAAGTGTTGCAACCGCACAGTAAGTTGTTTTATTCTCTTTCTCAGTGTTGACCAGTCATATACTCGTAATGTCCATAAGGGGATGATGTATAATTGCTTTAATCATTTCTTATTCAAATTTTCACCGTGCTTTCTAAGGCATATCAATTTAGTTAATACCATGTAATTAAAATATGTCAGTGCACTACAACGCTCGGGCTGTATTAATGACCGTGAAAATTGTTTTAATTAAATAGCCAATTATAGTAAAGCCCCAACCATGAGAATTGACATTTAAATGAGCTTTATTTAAATTGCTTTCAATATTGTTTCATCAGAATTTCTCACGCGGCGAATTAATCACTTGCCCATGTGCATGTACAAAGCGCCCTTAACTATTGAAGTGCTGTTATTGTTCATTTAATTTCAAGCACGAATTCATACAATATACGGCTGTCCTTCCATAAACTTTGTAACCTTTCCAAGTTGCATAACATAACCAACTTAACAGTCAATGGCGCAAAAAAAAACACGCTCAACGTGTAGTCTGTTGTTTTGTTTGTTTTTCTTTACTGTGAGTATTATAAAGGGTACCTTGTAAACCTTGCTCAACGCCAGCAATAGCATGTGTTCTTGTGAAGTTCATTGTTTCAGATCTACCTGCTTTGAAAGAAAGGAACGCACGTGCGCGCTGTGTCTCTTCCAAACTCTCTGTTTCTTGGCTCCTCCTCCGGACCACAATGTGACAGATTCAACTTGTCTGAGCAGCACCAGCGCAGCTCCTCACTTATTCCCACTGTCACTATCACATTTTGATCGATGTCGTGACGCACAGACAACATCTCGTTTCCCCCCCGTGCCAGGCTGATTTTACTTTTCGAGTTGTTTTTGTTGTTGTTTTAGCACTTTCAAGACATTTATTTAGTGTTGAACATGGCCACACCGGCTGCGCTGCTGCCCGCGACAACGATGGCCCACGCGCCTCCGATGTCGGTCGCCGCGGCGCTCAACTCCTCGACCCCGGCGACCCTCTCGCCCTCACCGTCCGTCACCCCATCCGGACCGAGCCTCTTCAGATCGGAACTGCTCTCCTCCGCGAGCCCGGGCATCCCCATCGGAAGTCTCCCGCACAAACCCGTGTATTCCACTCCTTCTCCGGTGGAAAACACCCCTCAGAACAACGAGTGTAAAATGGTCGAGGTCCGAGGCGCAAACCTCGCGTCTTTCACTGTCAACGACAACGAGCTCATCTGCCTCCCGCAGGCTTTTGACCTGTTTCTCAAGCACCTGGTCGGTGGACTGCATACCGTGTACACTAAACTCAAACGTCTGGAGATAACGCCTGTGGTGTGCAACGTGGAGCAGGTTCGCGTCCTCCGTGGACTCGGCGCGATTCAGCCTGGAGTCAATCGCTGCAAACTTATATCGAGAAAAGACTTCGAGGTTCTGTATAACGACTGCACCAATGCAAGGTAAATATAGCCTTCTCAGAGCTACGCGGGATGAGTAGGCTTCTTTTCTATACTGTAAACATACTTTGAAAAGTTTTAAAAAGTTGCACTAAAGTAAAAATAATTAAAGTACTTGGCACATTGCACTATGCGGCTTTATTGAGCTCCAATACACAGCACAGCACGTTTATCATGCTTATGATCCAGTTTGAACAGTTTGGCCTTTGATAATCGTGCACATATCTGAACAATTAAGCCTTTGATAATTATGCACATATCAGGTTACTTTTATACTGAAATACATTGAATATACAGTACACCACACTCACCTTTTGGGCAGGGCAGGTGTGTTTCACCATCAATCAGGCAGTCAGAATAGGACTGAATAGCTGTTTCAGTCTCTTTCTAAAACGTATCAGGTGAGAACAAACACTTTTGGAGATAGATATGGAAAAGTGAGAGGGAGCGAGATCGTATCAATCTATTATATAAATATTTAATGGGACTAGTACGCTTTTGTAACGAGTTAAAGCGAATGTCAACTCACAGGTTAATCGGCAGTTGTCCCGTGGGTAGCCTGTTAGATGCACCACAAGTATCACTAGAACACCTAGAACGAATTTGCAGTGATTCACAACGTGGCATGATTATATTAGCCAAGGTAGGCTAGTTATTGAATGTCGTTATCAGTTCAGACAGCTGGTTATAAAAGCTCTACATTCTGTTGAGCTGTCATTAGCCTATAGTTTGCTGCTGACATTGTTGCCATCTAAAACAACGAAAACAACGACCCTTTAGTAGCCTATTAATAACGCAAATTTATCTGACCTTTAGATTGATGGCAAACATACTGATGCATCTGCGCGCGAGTGCGCTCGAGAGTAGGGATAGGCGGACCTATACTGAAGTATGATATATCGAGGTATGGAAAGTATGGGTACTCAAATAAAAAAGTACCATTACTCAGCCTTTTTTTCAGTGATTTTGTTTAGCCCGTTTAGCTAGAAATTTAATGCATATGTCTATAATATGTATTGAATTTGACAAATAAACTATATTAGGGAATAATTGGAATATAACTATTTTCCTGCTCATCCGAATACAAGCAAATGCTGCAAGACAGAACCAATCAATGACAGAGAACGTTACCTCACTGCTGACACTGCATTCAAACAGGACTGCAGGTTTCCTAAAAGTATCATGTCATAATTGCCATTTTTGCAATCAGCTTAAGTTTATGATGCTTTTTTGGAAATGCAGCCCAGAACAATGTTTATCAGAGGACAAAAAAAAACAAACAAAAAAACATAATATGGATCCATTAGATTGAGTTATTTCACAATAAAACAACTGTAGTTGTAGGCTACACTTGTTTAGCAGTTAAAGAGAACTAAGTGAGCCTTGTTTGAAAGAACAGTACAGGTTTGCTTATCTAAACCTTGGTGTCTGTTAGCAACTTTATGACACCAGCTCATAGCTGCTTGCTTATTAAAGAGCACATTTAGGCAGCCATTGGCACTGGTGAGGAGATGTTAAGCGCTTGTGACACAAGTTACTGGAACGAGATTAGAATCTCTGATTCCTGCCTGAGCACTCGCTCCCCGGCGGTGTCTAATATAGAAATTGATTCTCTGCAGAAATTAATTAATTTTTCATATTGCCTAGAGCGGCAGTTTTAAAAGGGTGCTCTCTAACAGTCCTCCCGCCCTTTTTGTCTCCATTTGAATTATATCCTAATCATATTAATACTTTTTGCCTCAGGATTAATCGGCAAATTTACAAATGTGTTTTGAAATTTGTATCACACAACATATTTATGCGAGGAAGTAGACCATTCTCCTGACCTCCAATTTGCTCAATTTGTTCTCATTCGTTATGAAAATGCATCTAAGAATCCAAATTCTGACCAACTCTAGCTCAAAACTGCCAAATTGAAATGTTTCTATCTCTGTATAATGACTATTTAATCAATGTCTGGCCTCCTAATGTTTTAAATTTGGCAGAGCTGAATGGAGATCAGATAGCAAGGGCAGACAGCGTGGGCTAAACTCTTGGACCTCTGTCCCTTGAATTCTCTAAAGACCTAACTGAGGAGTTTAAATTGAGAGATTGAGGCCAACGCACTCTTTACTTTCGCCGAATTGGTGGCTAATTTCATCCATATGTTTTTGTACTGTTTACATCATATTTTTTTTCTAAAAATCGTACAAATTCATATGGAATTGCCACCTCGTGAAATTGTTTTCTCATAGATTTTCTTGGTTAGGGTGCAAAGGGTGGCTTCAGAAATGACTCATACTGAGTCAAAGTTTGGCACTTTGAGTCATCATGACCGGATAAAGAGATTCTGCTCAACTGGCATGTTATTGTTTCTTTAAATAGGTTTTATAAAACAACATAAGTTAACAGGAGAAGAAACTAAACAGCAAACCCACCCATCCACCCCATGTTGTGAGACTCAAATAACTTTCTATGTCCTTTCTTGAGCTACACTGCTGTTATTCATCAAATCTGACTACTTCCTCAGCGCTCGTCTTTGTTGAAAAGATATGTCTTCTCTGACCGTCATCTAATCCATGAGCTTTTTCTGGCAGACAGAAAAAAATGCCCTATAGGTGCTGACTTGGTCTGTCTGCTTTACAGAGTCATTCATCACTCCGAGCATTTCCTTTTATGACTAAATTCTAACGGTAAATGTTTTGAAGCAACAAAACACATCTTGGATCAGCATAAAAACTAATAGTTGATTTACTGCAGCACTTCACAATGCTCAACAGACTTTGCAATCGGTTTCTGTTGCACACAATGTTTTCCATTATTTAAAGGCTGATTCACTAGCATGGAAGTTTTGAATGTCCATAAAAGGCATTGGACTTGCTGTGCTTTTGTTTTTGCTCGTAATAGTAAAAAAAATGCTTATGCCTTCTCCTACAGTTAGTCTGCACTTAGTGAGCCTTTATTTACTGAATTATTTATTTTCGTAGAATCACATTCACTTCCAGAAAACCTTAAACGGACGTGATGTATCACGACTCATTGGCTTTGTGTTGTGACCTTTCTCTCAGAAACTCTCCATCTGTGAAGTGGAGCTTATTCAGGCCTGTGTGTTCATTAATGTGTGCCTTTGTGAGAAAGTGAGATGACAGACGTAGCTTAGTGCAAACCTTTTGCGAATACTCTGCAAAAATGGGCATTTGTGTCTTTGAAGATTTTCCTGTCACAGAGTTCAAGTCGTGTGAATGCTCGGTGTGAGAGGAGTGTGTCAATGTGTGTTCTCTTTCTCTGATCTTCAAATGAGAGACATTTTAAAGGCCATGGATTACAGTCAAAACAAATACCCATAGCAGCAGCTCTGGCATCCTAGACAGCAAATTATACACAGACAATTAATTGATGTCAGTGTGATTGCTTTCATTTAAAAATTCCCCTTATCTAGTACTCACCAGCTGTTTTTCTCCCTTTCTCCTGCACACGTACACAAATGCACTAACCTCAAACAGAAGTCTCTGCACGTCTCTGTCTTCCCTTGACCTTCAGGTCCTTTCCAGCAGGAACACGAGCCTCTATCAGTCAGCAAGGTTTGATTCGGCCCTTCCACAGTGTGTTAGTGAGGAGTGAGGGATTAGTGGAAGGAAAATAGAAGAGTGTGTGAATGTGTGACACAGAACCAGATCCATCCACACATTTTTTTTTTGCACTCTATATTATCACGAAAGGTTTCGATTGCCACGCTTTCAAGGCTGCAGTATATTTTTAATCCTCTAATATCAATCATTACATACGGCTGTGGACCAATTAAAAAAAGTAAATTAAATAAAAAAAATAGAAAGTGAATAGAAAGATATTAACATATTTTCCATGGACATTAAATATATATGTGTAAAACCATCTTAATAAAAAAATACAAATAAATTGAACAATATAATGAATTATACATTTGTAAATTATGATTAATTATTATTAATTAAATTATACTTAAATTAGTATGCATTATTAATTCATAAATATAATTACTTGTTTGGGGGATGCAGCACATAACTTTATATAACCTGAATTAAACTTGTCACAAAAAGGTAAAACTATCTTATATTTTAATGCACTTTTTGAACTTGTCATATAGTCATGAGGTTCTGCAAGAGTGCTCTCAATGATATAATTTCATATTTTATATGTTATTTTTTCTGCATGATTCTGCATGTTGATTAGACCGCATGACTTTTGTTGGTCATTTCACATGACATTGATTTGACAGATAAACAAGCAGTGGAGCAGTTTTGTAACAAAAAAAGAAAAGAAAAGAAAAAAAGAAAAGAAAATAATTCTCTCTCTCCCTCTATATAATTTTTATTATTATTTAGTAAATATATTTATATTCGAATATTTACTTATATCTATTTATTAACAAATAACAATATAATAATAATTATTAATTATAATAAAAAAAAATCTCTCAAAGCTTTAGTGACTCTATTGGAAACCGCCAATGCAGCTGCTCAGACAGCTGATAGCTTTGTAGTGGCATGCTGCATATCATAAAAGAAATGTGTTATAGCGAACTAGGGCTTAAAATACTGTTGATGTCTTTATGGTGCTATTGTGTTTGTGTGTGTCCATCTGCTATTGTGTGTGCAAGTGTAAGACTGTCTGTTCTCGGAGATGAGGTGGATTGATGAGAGTTTGGAAAATATCACCTTACATGCAGTGTGTGTGTTCCTTTGTGTGTGTGGTGTTTGTTTAGATGCAGTCGAACAGAGCATGGCTAATTAAATGTTTATTGAGATGCACATTGTGTACTTCTAAGAACTGGTCACAAAGTAAATCACTCAGATAACATTTGCCAAGGACATAAATGTAAATGAAAAAAAGAAAAAAAAAAACATAACATTTGCCAAGGACATAAATGTAAATGAAAAAAAGAAGAAAAAAATTGGGGGATGCAGCACATAACTTTATATAACCTGAATTAAACTTGTCACAAAAAGGTAAAACTATCTTATATTTTAATGCACTTTTTGAACTTG